CAGGCCATTCTATGATTCTATGATATATTCTGTATTTGTTATCAGATGCATGGGAGATTTAAAAATTTGGAACACTTTGGTTCCTTCTGGTGGTTTAACTCTGAATGTTACTTGTTACAGACGGCTTTTAGTTTTCATGTGTTTTGTTAGTACATTCTAGGTTTTGACTGTCAGTATGTTCTAGATTTTGACTGTCATCACTGATTTTTCTTCCTTTAAGATGTAATAAAGTCATAAAGCAATTGGATGTCTCTGACTTTTAAAGTAAACATACTGTCAATTCACATTGTACTGTGTAAGGTTTTTGTGTAGTTTTTTATTGCCATTCAGAATACAATTGGGAAATTTTTATTTTTGTAATTAAGGGAAATTCCTGTAGAACTGCAGCGACTTGTTCATGGTGGCCAGGTTAGTCTGGATATGGAAGACCACCAAGAACAGGAATACGTGAAGCCTAGACTGCGATTCAAAGCTTTCAGTGGCGAAGGGCAAAAACTTGGAAGGTAAAAAATGCTAGGTTTTCTGTTCTGTGTTTCTATGCTATTTCAAAAGCTGGATTTAATCAATTAGGAGACTGTTGAAAAAGCTAATCAGATGAAAAAAGTAATATCAAATTATTCTGTGCCACAGGTCTCAGCCCTGATTTCAGTCACAAGTAATCTTGAAAGTTTATATATAATCTTAAAAAAGTCTTAGTCCCCCGTTGGAACTGCTGATAGGTTTGCTAGATGCTTTGTGCTTTGTTACGACTGTGAGATTTCTCTGCTTGTTCTTGCATATAATTTTGCTTCTATTTTTTTTTAACTTCAGCTGTGTTTAAAATGGGAGCAAAGGAAGCTGAAAGGCGATTAGTACTGTACAAATTTCATGAGAAAATCTCTTGATAGAGGAAGTAAACCCGAAGAAATTGCCCCCGATTTAGTGCGGAACAGGCAAAACTTAGTTATAATAGGATACTGGCTAGTAAGGACACACTGTGCTCTGGCTTAGTAGTACCTGTTGTCTTTTATTGCTGGGATCATCACAGAGGGAAGAGGAGATGCTATTACAGCAGGATGGCTGATGCCTGGCTTAGGGTGGATGGAAAGTATTTTTGTATGAGAGCAACTCCCTTACTGTTTTCTGAAATGAAGCAGCGGAAATACTGTCCTGAAATATAACTTCGTAAACAGTCAGTCATTCATTATAAGTTATACAAGGCAAGTCTGTTAGTTTTAAGAAAGAGAAATAATTTGATAACTTTTTTAAAAATTTGATCCAAAATAAATGAACAATACGTTGTATCAAAATCCAACTTTCACTAGGATTTGATTAAAAAAATCAAATGATGCTGTAAAAATCTAGAGTGGGAGCTGCTTTTTAAAAAGCAAACAACCAGAGAAATTGTACATGCTCCCCTAGATGAACTAATACTGCAAAGCCTGGAGTGTGGGAGGGGAAGGGCTCAACTTTTAACCTCTGATTGGAGCCCTCACTTCCTCCAATTATAGTGTCATCTCCAACTACATTATAAAGTTCATATAGAAAAAAAAAAAGAAATTTGATTTAGAAAAGCTTATACCTTGTTCTGTTTCATCTGCTGTCCTGGTGCAAGGGGTAGGCTGATGCTGTTAAAACTCTTAATTCAATTGAACTCATACATAATGTGCCAAAGATCATTCCTGACACTGAATATTTCAGACTACTTTGTCCAAAAGTGCTCTGTCCAGCTTAAGTCAATCGTCAAGAGTAAACAGCAATGTGACCTCAACTCTCCCAGTCATCAGCTTTTCACGTTACAATTACAGGCTTTATAGCATATTTTTCAGATGACTTGATATTAGCTGTTGAATTGTAAATACTACTAGGCTTCTGTTTGTGACTGCATTTACTCATGTAATATGTTTGGTTGCCAAAAAAAAGGTGTTACTGGTGTGCTTCGGCAAGTAATTCAATTCAATAAATTATTCTTAACTGTTTCTAATCTATACTTCATCTTTTTAATTAGGAAATGTGCTCAATAAAGCTGAGAAGGTGGTAAGCTCTGCTAGAGGTGACATAGTGAACAATTGTATACCATAACTTCTTCACCTGAGCACTTAGATGATTAAAGAAAATAGGGAAGGGAGGAGGTTCTGTATATGAGCACATGTGCACACCTGTTGTGTGGCATTTTTGTTTGTTTTGCTAGCTTACAAAGTCTCAGATATGTAAGCAATGAAAGGAGCATCCAAATGGTTATTTCCAATCAGATTTTTATTATTTTTATACTAAATGTAAAAAATTCCAAGCTTACTATGTGGTGATTATCAACTACCTGTTAATACAATTTGTGCTCTAGAAGGGTGGGAGATGCCCAGGATCATAAAGCAATGCTCCTGAAAGCAATTACTAAAGCAGTTTGGGTCAGTTTAGTGTGCTATAATGGGGCGTGATTATTTTTTAATGTAGTCCAGGAGGTAATGATATATGAATCTTAGTACTGAAGACTGTCGTTTCGTGTTCTGCAAGCATAAACAAAGGTAGTTTTGTTTGTACTTGGTTACCTATTTAAAATCGTGTGGATGTAATGATATGTCCAGTTATAAGTATGAAATATTGCAATCATTGACAAGAAACTGCAAAAGCATTATTTGTGTCTCTGTTAGAAAAGCTGTGTTTATACTTAGTTCCAATAACTTTGAGAAGATTTTCATTGGTCATTCATGCTAGGTATACATGGTAGTCATTCAATGAAAAAGACAAATGAAACGTTATTCAGTTTTGGTTTTACTCCGTTAGTAACATCTGGTTTTGTTTTGGTGTTTTTTTTATAATCCTCTAGCCTTACGCCTGAAATAGTCAGCACGCCTTCTTCCCCAGAGGAGGAGGAGAAATCCATTCTTAATGCGCCTGTTCTGATTGATGATTCCATGCCAGCAACTAAAATTCAAATTAGATTAGCAGATGGAAGCCGATTAATACAAAGATTTAATCAAACACACAGGTAAATTGATTATGCTTCACTGCAGGTAACCATAACTGTATTTTGATAAGTTTGTGTTTTGTCATTAAATGAAAATCAGCAAGACATTAAAAAGGAGAAAATACAGCTCCACTGAAATGCTAGAGCTCTGTTTCATTTTCATGATATAGATGTACTCATATATTGATTGTCAAAGCAGAATTTTATGCTTGGAAGCACAAGATATTTGATAACTGCAAAGTCACAAACTTTTATGACTAATTATGTCCTGTGATTTGTTAGGATGTGGTACCAGCCATAATTGTTCTCAGGGTGACTGGAATCTGGACAACCTTGTTATGTAGTCATCCCAACCCTTGGTCCTTCTTGGGAGGACACTGTGAAGGCACTGCAGTGCAAGGTTTGGAGTATAGTTTCAATTGGAATATAGTTCACACTACAGGCAGAGAAATCCTGTGGCCCATAATCAAGAGCTCCAGCTTTCTGCCTCATTATACTTGAGACTGTGACTAAATGTGACATAGGCTGTAAGTGTAGACTGCAACCCATACACAGAAGGGTATATGGACATAACATGCTCATTTGCAATTCTGACATGTAGGCTGGACATACCACCGAGAACCAGCCTTTGTTTTGTTTTGGATGGTTGTCGGCGAGGAGATGGCACTGTGTGAACCTGGTGGGTTTTTTTACCTGTTAGTAGTTTGCTGATTAGAGCTTGCTTTATTGACATTGTTGGGGCATTGCCACAAATGGTGTTGGCCAACCCTATTTATTTGCCTAAGAGGTTGTGTTAGCGCAAGGTTCTGCAAAGCTCTGCTTTGCACTGTGTGGCTGAGAGAACTTTGGGCAGAGGGCAGAGATTTGGACAGTAGTTCCACCCACGCCTCACAGCAAGAAGGGTTCAAGGCAGCCCTGATCTGAAATCTGCACCGTTGTGTTAGAGCACAGCTGAAACTGAGCCTGAATCTGAATCCTGCCTTGGAGGTGGTCTTAGCATGGACCCACTTTCATGTTAATATTGTTATATGGAGAGTTCACCTGTTTCCTTTTTGTCCTTTGGTTCAGAATAAGGGCAGAGCCAGTATGCAGCTTTCTTCACCTGACAACATACACACACCACAGTGAGGCAATTTTAGCTGAGATGGCGATAGGGAGGAAGAGACAGCAATCATTTTTCATGTTTTAGCAGACCTGATAACGTACACTGATAGTACAGGCCCAGATCCTTTCCTCACAGCACCTGCTGGGGAAGCGATGAAAGTAGGGCTTCTTGGGTGCCTCTGTAACCATGACATGTTTTTGCTTCTGTCTGCGTGAAAGGGTGGAAGTGGTAAACTTCTTAGTAACGTCTGTAACCAAGTGTGTGTTGACAGACGCTTATTTTAATTATTATTAACTTTCTCTTGGATGTGGATCTTTTTAGCTAACCTTGCCATAGGTCTGATCAAAATCAGCTGGCAACATGCATTGGTTGTGTTGTAAGCCTTAGAAAGAAGAACTAGAAAGTTGAAGTCCCTGATTACTTGGCTACAGTAAATCTGCCTACTCATTAGTTAAAATATATCTTCAAAGATTTATTCTCAGCTTACTGTCTTAGGAGAGAAACCTCAAATTTCAGTTTTTCATCTCTAAAATGTTACTTATTTTTCATGCATGTATAAAACTAAATTGTTCTTGTTGTACTGCTGATAAGATTGTTTTATGAACTGTTGTTCAGAAGTTCAATGCCAATGAAAGTAGGGGAAACCTTCTGCTGTTGAACTGAAGTGCATTAATAATTCTCCTTTGCTTTCTCATCACTGTCACCATATATTTCAAGATTTCTTCTTCAATTAATAATTTAGCCTTTTTGGAATATACTAATTAATAGTAAAATTTTTGACAGCTGGTGTTGAAATTACTTGATTTTCTATGTTAAGTATCAGTTTGCAGTATACTTTTATGTTACAAATTTTATTTCTGATATTTGAGAAAAAAAGCAAGACTCATTTTAATTTTTCAGGATTTGTATGCAAGAAGCAAAAAATTCTGGGCTACAACCATTGGTTATCTGGATCCAATAGAAATGTAAAATCGATAGGCCGTATTAAATGGTTTAGTCTGTTTGGAAGGTTTTGTGTTCTCTGCTCATCTTAATGTTCAGAGATTTATGTCAAAATGGAATCATACACAGTTTTCATGTGCATATCCTTTCCACAGGATTAAGGATATTCGAGATTTCATTATCCAGTCCCGTCCAGCATTTGCAACAACTGATTTTGTTCTCGTGACCACCTTTCCAAATAAAGAGCTGACAGATGAAAGCCTGACACTACAAGAAGCAGATATACTTAACACTGTGATTCTTCAGCAATTAAAGTAATCTTACAGTTGTTGGTACAATATAGGGAGTGTGCTGTATTTCATACAATATGTTTCCAAGAGATGAAAAAAATGAAAGATCCGTGTCTTTTTATTTCCCCACTTCCATGGATTGGATTTTTGGGTTTCGTGTCTTCCAGCTATAGCATATCAAACTTAATTTCTCAACGTTGTTCAACCTTTCTTCAGTGTTAAAATTAAGCTTTCCTCTGTTAGTATGTTTCAAACCACATCTTGTGCTAAATGTGAAATGAGATGTGACTTTGTGACTCTTCGTTATTTTGAGGGGGGTGGGAGGAGAAGCATTTTTCTGAAGGGGACAGTATCTTTCATACAGTTGAGAAGATTTGCACTATGGAAATGTTTTATGCTGCATTGACAAACAGCCATTTGAAAACTTAGCCTGTAAGTTATGTTTACCTTCCAAGCTGTATTAATATTAAAGTGTTCTGTTTAATAGGTTGACAGATAATTAATGTCCTAATATAATTTTTTATATTCTGTTTGTAGTGTTTCATGGTGCTGTGTAGTATTTATATTCTATTTTTTTATGTAATTTTCCCTGTATCATTGCTCATGTGAGTGAATCAGTTCAGAAGATGCAAACCTCAGCTATTGCTGACCATAATAGATTGTTCTCATTTGTGTTCTAGTTGTTCTGCTTGTGGTGAAAATAAGTGTGTTTTTTTTCTTCTTGAAGTTGGAGACATTCAAAAGACCACTGTCACCTGGAGAAATGCAGTGCTATAGATTTCATGAGAGTAGGCCTGTGGTCACTTTGAGCCTGAATGTGCAGTTGAACCCTGTGCTGCAGCGACATGATTCTTCACACTAACAGTTACTTAAATAATCCCAGGCAGAATCCCAAACAAAAACCACCGAGGTGCACAAACACAGAACTTGTTTATGCTGTCACTTGCATGCACAAAAGAAGACATGTTAATTGGTCATCTGTTTTTTACCTGAATTTCAGGTCTTTATATTTGGAATTTTGGCTAAAGGGAATTTTTAATACTCAGTGGGGATTTGGTTGGGCAGCTTTCACTATACTTGTTTGGAAGCTGTAGAATTAAACCCTTTAGTCTTTGAAATTATATATTTTTTCAAATAACTTGGCCTACACTGCAGTATGCAGGTAGGAATCTTACGTTGTGGGCAAACTGGCTGCTGTGCTTTCGTAGTATTTGTGGCTTTATATCAGATGAGTTGGTCGTGCTCTGAGGAAGGGTGAATGGGCTATATCTCTTGTATATGTGTTAAAAATGCTGTTTTCACTGATTGTTTCATTCTGAAAATATCAATACTTATTTATTCATGCTAAGCGTATCATTGCACAGTATATTAGATTAATCTTACATTTTTACCTCAAAGTAGATATTTGAGTAAATTTTAAATGTGCAGTTGTTTTTGAAGTATTTTGTAATCTGAATATCTGCATGATTTTAAACATAATTCACTCCATGTGCGAAGTAATTAAAGTTTTAACCTAAAAAGACCATAGGCAACACTTCTTGTTTTCTTCCCAATTTATTTTGTGTTGCAGTGGTGATTGTGTTGTGTGCCAAATATTTAAGCCTAAATGGAAAGGAATGGACACTTATTCTGCATATATTTTATATGCTAACACTTCTCTGTATAAATGCAAGGCCAAAGTCAGTATTGTGATACTGGTCTTCGGCAATCTGTGGTTTGGGCATATTTTAGTTCAGAATACAAGTAAAGTTACATTGATTATTACTTCTGAAAACCGTTATTAATTAAACACTGAGGTATGAAGGACAGTTGTTAACTAAATTGGTTTTTTTCCTCTTATTATGCCGAAAAACCACAACTGCGTACTGTCACAATCTCTGTTTCCAGTAGCTGGTAAACTTTAGTGTTCAGTAGCAGCTGACAGTAACTTGGGGTCCCAGTAGTTGACATTATTTTGTCAAGCACTAAGAAAATATATCCATGCTCGTGTTCATATTTAATTGCTTCTCAGTACTTTAAAACCTATAGAATCTTCCATCTCATAATTTTATGTCATACGTTTTGTTAACATTAAATTCCTGCTCTTGTAGCTAACTTCTTGGCATTTTGGGCACAAAACAGTTATTGGAGTACAGACCTATATGGATATGCAGTTCAGACTGGCTACGAAGGAGAAGGGAGACTGAAACGAGGGAGAAGAAACTTGGTGAAGGATGATGATCTTTCTCTCACAGCAAGGCTGCTAAGCTTCTTCTGAATTCCTCTTAGCTTCCATGAAATACAGGTAATAATCCTGTCACTTGCTCCTGTAGGCAGCTTAGAAAGGTTCAGACTCCCATCTTTGTGATCATTTATTCTGGATAAACACAGCCAGGCTTGTTAGTTTGGGAGTTTTCCTTTTTTTCAGCAGCACACTGAGATGTTTGTAAACCTTCTGCTTTCATCTAACCACTGGACACACAGGTAGAATTAGCATCTATTAACAGCCATCTCATGCTGTTCTTGCTCTTTGGTGAAAATCTGTCCAACATTAAATGAACCAGGGAAGAGCATGCAAGCACTCAGAGGTGCTGTTACTAGCTCCCTGCATAGTTGCTGGCGCTACGCTAAAGCTCCCATGATTTTAAATTATATTATTCTGTGCAGGGAGAATAGAGTGAGAGGTGCACCTTCCCCTTGCTCATGCTGATGAATCCTGCCAGGCCTCAGCACAGGCATGTGCTGTTCCACAGGCAGATGAGACAGTGAGCAGCAAGAGTCTGCAATAATAAATATTGAATTCATGGCATGCCATCTGCAGTAAGCTCGTGGTATTTCTGTGGGATGGATATAATTGGAATGGGTTCCTGAACAGATTAAAAGTAGGACTGGTACTATTTATCTGCTCATCAATTATTTTAAAATAAACTTTGAAAACCCAAAGATTTGTGCAATGATAGACAACAGTAAGCAACAACTGTGGGGAACATTTAGTGAACAGCAGCAATCAGATCAGTTGCATCCTTAGTACAGCCAGATGTCAAGTTACAGATCTGGAACCAACCGTGAAAGCACTGGTCCTGGAAAGGAGTTCGCTAACAGTCGGAAAAGTGCAGCAGGCTATTTACACCCCTTTGAGGTCTACAGCGTTGACTTTGTGACTGGGAGATTATTTTTATCCATGCGTTAGTTATTGATGAGTTTGATACTGTTCATAGTGCTGGTCCTGCTTCTTAAGAACTTTATAGGTGGGTCCAAAAAATCAGTGGAAATGCCAAATTAAATATCTTATCTTAAAAGAGCTCAAAACAGGTAGCTTATCAGGGAGAAAATGAAAAGATGAGGTGATTTAAAGTCGCTAGTTACTTCTTGGGGGGGGGTAAGTATTATAGGACTGTTCTGTAGAGAAAAGCATAACACAAATTAGAAGCTTGTACAAAGCTTGGAAGCTCAGTTCAGGTATTTTCAAAATGAAATTAAAATATGTTTTTCAATAGCTGAACTAGTAGAATGAACCAACCTTGAAAACTTTTCTATCTTCTGTTTTCTATTTAATTCTCGGTCTTTTGCTGTCTTTCTCTAAGACTTGTTTTAATTAAACCCAGTTTACTTGGGTTTTGCTACAACAAAGTAAAATGAAGTGGCTTAGTATTTGGACAGCAATTTTCTTTGTTTAGTCATACTTACAATTAATAAATGCTGTATATTTCATATTTAAGGCTGGAAATGTCCTCATGTACCTCACTGTGCATCTTCAATATTTTTATCACACACGTTCCAAAAAAAGTCTGCTGAACTTCTCACAGATGATTGCCAGAATTCAGATTACAGACCAGAAGTCACCATCTTGTATTTCTTATTTGCAGCTCTCCTGCTTTAGTAAAGGTCTTGTTCTGTCCATAATTGATCTGTGGCAGCACATCTGAATGTTAAAGGAAAGAAACTTAAGTTTAAGAAACTTTTCATCTAAAACTAAGAAGTGGGGAGGGTATCTAGTTCTTGTCTTGTTTCCTGGGAGCTGTCTGCTCTTTCATTAAACATGTGATCTATAACCTATATATTTGGGCTCTTTTTCTGGAGTATAAGAAGATAGATGTGTTATTCCAAACGGCATTCAGGTAAACTGAGCGAGGCATTCTTAACTGTGGAATGGAAAAAAAAAAAAAAATTCCTTTAGGGAATTATTCTGGAAGAGCTACTATTTTACATTATTAAATCCACCTCAGTCCAAACTAATTTGGTGAGATCTTAGACCATTTAAATGCAAGTAGTCCCAAATGGGAACACCCAGAAGTCATTTTTCCTATATGATGTTTTTTTATGAAGCTTGAATAGAAGTAATCAGTTATGCAGAGCTGTGAAGCTGGTATTTATTTCATGGAGTTCTTATTGTCTTACCAGGTTCTGAGAGAAAAAAATTGATTATTCTAGCAAAAAACTTAGAAATCATGGTGTTTATTTGCTCCATCCTAAAAATTACCAAATAATTGTTCTTTGAAGACGAAATAAATTTTCTGATTTGCAAATTAAATTTGAATTAGCTTTTTCATGTTAATAGCTGTCTGCAGTGTTTTGGACCAGTGGAAGCCTCAGAACTTTAGTGCCTGCATTGTGCAAACCCTGTACAAATGTTCCATTTTAGTGAACAGGATTCATGTCTGTTTACCTTGCAACTATTCCTCATCAAGTTCAATTAAATCATCATTAATCAGATGTTCACAGCATCAATGTCCTTACAGTCTTTTGTGCTGATTTAGTTAATCCATTTATTTATGTTTTTATTACTGCAGTGCTACTTCCCATAGCAGTCCCCAAATCCTGTTGTCTAAAAGGAATCATTGAAAGCCAAAGAGGGCATGCAGTTGGAAGTGCTTGGTAACCTTGGTCACCACTCGAAATATTGTAAACCCAGGATTTGGTCTGTGTGAAAGGAACAAACGCTTCGTCTTGAGAGATCAGACCATTAGACCTTAAAAGGATCTGCTCAGAGGAAAAGAGTGAACCTGAATCCTATCTCAAATCTCAGCACTGGGAAAGCTCAGATGTACCACTGTACTGTAAGCTGGTGTTAAGATAGAGGCTGACAATCCGCCTTGGTAGAATAAAAAAAATAAAACTCAAAGGCCTGAAAACATTCTAGGTTTCAGCTAGACTTAACAGGTAGGTCTGGCATCTGTCACAAAC